TTAATAAATTATAAAATTATTTTATTTGTAAAGTACAATACGTTAATTTGATACAAAAGCGAAATTTTATTTAAAAGTTCTTTTAGAGTTATATGGGTACATATGTAAAGAACTTGACAACTAACCTGTACTCTTGCTTCTGATAAACTGATTCTTAAAGCAACTTCTTCCCTTAGGAAAACGTCTGGATAATGTGTTTTTTGAAATAGTGCTTCTAACTCTTGAAGTTGTTGAGGACTGAAAGTAGTTCGATTTCTTCTCTGTCTTCTTCGTCCAAACATGTACTCAGTTAACAAATCACCCGGTAATGGAGATAAGTAAGGACCAGCCATAATCACTTTGATTATTTATTAATCGAACGTTAAACAATTTTACTATAAACAATCTAAAATCAATCTAAAGGGTTGTTTACTAAGGAGCGCTTTTCCTCTATTGAAGTTTGAGTTTAAAGTACCTGTTATCAAAACAGTTGTTAGCTTTGAATAATCTGATAATTTTGATTATACTGAAAATTTAAATAGCGTCCGGAGTTGATTGCGAGGGTTGCTCCACCCCTGGATTATTCTGATTGGTCGGATAGGGAAGAGGAAGACCGGAATACGGGAGAGCGCCGGCTCCGTTTTTACCCTAATTGAATTTAATAACTTTATCCCTAAATCGCAAAACGGTTAGTGGTTGATGGTGATATAGATAAACCTCTAATTCTGTTTTCTCTTTCCAATGTTACAATTTCATCTGTTTGTTTCTCAATTCTTTTTATTGGTACGTAATAAAAAGGTTGTGCCAATATTCAAAATGTTCAAATGTTTGTTTGAGATTTATAGGATAATTTGGATTTTGGAATATAATTCGATTTCATTCAATAACTTGTAACAAAGGTTAGACAAAAGATCATTCTGATTTGAGAACGTTGACGTTTTCTTTATTTTTTTGATAAATTATATTCTTATTCACACATAAAATTAGCATCAAGATAAAAGGACCATGTAGCAATTAACTATAGAATCTATTTCTTCTAATAATATGTAGAATCAAAGTTAGATATAGTAAAAGGGTTTTTGTGTATTGTAATATTAACCCCCGAAGTATATCGTCTTGGATATAATGCTTTTTCAGGGGTGGTTTTGTTGTTAATACATACGTGCTTCAGGTACATATTATTAACAATTTAACAAATGAAATAAGATAAAATAATAAATAGTTACAAATTAATAAATGCAGTAGGTACATAAAGTTTTCGTTTCATATCAGCTGTTTTCATTATGTCATTTACAGAAACCAATAGGTACTTAAAGCCAATAACCGCGATTGTAATTAGGGTTGAGCAAATTTACAGATTAATCGAAATAATCGGTTATATAAATTTATCGGAATAATCGATCAATCAAATCGTTTAGTCACTTAAAGATAATACATTTTCTAAATTCTGCAATAGATACGTGTTAAAAATAGTAACTGTAATAATATGATTACGCGTGTACATTTTCTTTCTGCAACAAAACTGACTCTAAAATCTCTAATTATGGCGTTCTATAGTCGACTCACGAAATTTAATCGTTAAAGCGTGGTCCCTTCGTCAATTCTTTTCCTCCTTCACTTCGATCCCCTGCCGTACCATGAACAATAACGCGAAACAAATAATAATCAAGCTTTGTCGAATTTTTTGATAGACCGTAACGTTTTTCAGCGGCTTACTATACCAAAATCAATCAAAGTCGATAAAATTGGCTTCGAAATTGAATGAACCCGTTACGAAGACACGCTTTAACGAGTTGAATAAATTGAGCTACACGGAGCGGGTGCGTAAACGTTACCGCGAAGCAAATCAATGTAAATTTGGAACCTTAATAATTCTTGCAGAACACAAATTTAAATTGATGCTTCTCCTTCGTTAAAACATAACAATAATAAATAGCGTCCAATTGGAATTCCGTAACTACAATAAATCAGCTAATAAAGCGGCGCTTCTTTAGACCATTAAGCTAATTTTTACCGTGTCAGACTTCGGAAACTTTAGGGAAATACTAAAAAAAAAAATTAGTTTCATTCACAAATAACGACGAGTTTGGTATATATTATTATATATTCTTCGGGTTAGGTAATGCATATAATATGATCGAACATGGATCGAACATTAAAAATTGTTTAACCTTTGCCACTTTTGTTCACGTTCAATACCAAGCCATTTTCTATTCTTTTCAAAAAACACTACTATAGGTATGTTAATTTGCTTCATAAATATAATCGATAAATCCTGAATTTGCATTTGAATGTATGTGGGTAACACTCTAAAAAATTGCTAATTGATTTATGTCCGCAGTCGATTTCGCCCACTTGGAATATAAATCAGTGGTTACGCCATTTGATGTCAATCCATTTGAAATTAAATTAATCTGCATTTAATGAACAGAGTTTAAAGGAACCTAATCCGTTTATGCCTCTACATTTTTCATTATTCAGATGTTTAATTTAGAATGTCTACCTACTCTTTCTTATTACTTTGTTGGGTTTTCGTATTTTTTATAATAAAAGTAATAGTTTACCTACCGTTTTCTGGTAATTTACGATAAGTGGTTGAAATGCGCGGTCGTCCAATGCAAAGGTTCATGATATTTTAAACTACCTCTACATGCTATTTCAATAGAAAACGCAACCGAAGACATTAAACAAACTGTAATATCTATTTGTTACTATAACAACAAATTTCACTAGTGAATCAAACAAGGGATGTCTAAGAGTCGATCTTCTAGCCCATCAGCCGCGCCTATAAAACACCTTATGATATTGGAGTCATTTAAGAAAGTGGGACTAAAATCCCGCTGCCACCTTNATAATAAATAGTTAAATAATTAAAATACAATCACGTGGTGATAATAGAAACACTATCCAAATTGTAATGTTTGTGCAACAACGTAGCGATTTGTTGTAATTTTACCCTATCTGACTTTGATTGTATATACTACATTGCAATTAAGTATAAAAAATTACCATTTATGATGAAATGATTTTTAAATAGCATCCATTTTTCCCTTAATTGGCAATGAATGTAATTTAGACCACACAGAACTCCACCTTGTGACAACACAAACCTGAAAACGTTGTGGTAAATATGCGTTGTGGCCATGCGGTCATTGAATTGTGAAGTCGTTGTGTTGTGATCACGTTCATTTTGTTAATAAGCATCTTGAAACAATAGATGTATTGTGATCACATTTACGTTGTGGTTATTATAAAATTAAAACAACGTAATAAAATTGTTCGTTGTATTAGGTATACGTTGTTATCATGCGCTCATATTACACGTTGTTGAATTGAAGAAGCTTCATTGTATTCATATTTTGTTGTGGTAATAACAATTTTATAAATGTAACAATTGAAATTGTGGGTGTGCATTGTAGTATTTACGACTACGACATGCGTTGTGGATAAAAAGTTGCGTTGCGGTCAAGTATAAACCACAATGTTGTTATAATAGAAGTTTAAATTGGAATTTAATTTCAACCGAATGATTGTGATGCAAAGATGGTTATGATAACGTTAGCTTTTGATATAATGTGATATTACGGTATTACGTTGTTTATAGTTATAAGAAATGAGTACTGTGTAATAAAATATGAATATATTTTTTGTTGTTGTGTATAGCAGTATTTTATTCGTTGTTTCCTTACAGGAGTAGGTGCATTATGATCACATTACGTTGTGGTCTGGTTATTACGTCCATTGTGGCTGTAGAAATAAAAACGTTAGAATGAGATAGCTTTTTGTGAGCGTCTTCTTTTATAGGTTATTGTTTTGTGCATTGGAATGGTGTGTTGTGGTTTAGCATAAGGTGCGTTGCGGGGAACTTTGCATCGGAATAACATTAATATAAGTATAAATTGGAATTTAATTTCAACCGAATGATTGTGGTAGTTGTGATGCAGAGATGGTTATGATTATGTTAGCTTTTGATATATTGTGGTATTGCGGTATTACGTTGTTTATAGTTACAAGAAATGAGTACTGTGTAATGAAATGAAAATATTTTCTGTTGTTGTGTATAGCAGTATTTTATTCGTTACTTCCTTGCAGAAGTAGGTGCATTATGATCATATTACGTTGTGGTCTGGCTATTACGTCTATTGTGGCTGGTAAAATAAAAACGTTAGTATGAGATAGCTTTTTGTGAGCGTCTTTTTGGGTCATTGTTTTGCGCATTGGAATGGTGTGTTGTGGTTTAGCACAAGGTGCGTTGCGGGGACTTTGCATCGGAATAACATTAATATTAGAATGTGAATCGGGCTGTATATCGACTGAACTATTTAGTTTCTGGTGGTGGTGTGGTGGCTATGCAATTGGAGGCAACGCTGCCTGCAACTTCGTCGAACGAACGGTGGTGGTGGAGGGTGTTGTTCTCCGCCTCAACTTTATTAATTACGGAACTCGCTGATGTGACACGACCATTGTTGTAGATCCGATTGTCGTCGTCATATCGCATCAGTGAGGCGCTTGACATCGCGCCACATCTGGTGCCAACTTAAAAATAATTAAGAGATGCTATAATACTCTCACCATCGTCGTCGTCGTGCAGTAGCAGGCAGCACCACCTCCACCACCATCACCGTTGTATTCATCGCCGCCACCGGCTGAAAGAATATTCGGTTTGGCGAGGATTAAATCAGCGGAAGTCATTTAAAAAATTGTGTTTTATCCGGGTCCATGTAATAAATATAAAAACTCCTCTCAGCCCGTCGCGAGGCAGGACCTCGGCAACGTTCGTCTCCTCGCCAGAACGCGAACAAAATAATGAAATCATTGTAAGTAAATCCTGCTTGTGTTTTCAATTACTAGGCACTGGTGTATAGGCACTGGCGACCTTAATAATGGTAATGGATTACGCATTAACTGCATGATTTTAAAAGGGATGTTTACCTACCCCCACATGCATACAAACACATGCTGGCATCTCATATGCTCGTGCCAATTAAAAAGCCCTGATGAGATTAAATTTCGAAACAATCATTCTCTTGTTGGATATCGTCTCATACAATGGCAACAATGATTCCCATTTCCTAGAAGGAAGGGACCATATACAACTCCTACGTTTACTGGACTTTCTTCATTATTAATACTTCATCTTAACTATCTCCATAGTTAAGGTGAATTAAGTTTTACCACTACAGAAAACCTCAAATTAATGAAGAAGAGTTCTTGCTGCTGTTACGCCATCGCCGGGAATCGAACCCGGGACCGTTGGGTTTACGCACCGATGCTTTACCGCTAAGCCACGACAGGTAACAGCAACAACAACGACGATAAGAATTTTTGTAGGGTGAATTTCAATACGTTAAAGTAAATTAACTTGATGTTATATTTAGTGATAAAAATTAATTCATTTATTACTGTATTAAAATTAAACTTACAAAAATATCTCCATAATGTTTTAGTTTCAAATAGTTGGACCG